ACTCTGAACCTTTCATTTTATCCTTGGCGATGCACGAACTTGTGTCAAAACACAAGTGCAGTAAGTTTTCAGTAAGATTTTAAATTACAAACACTTATCAAAACGATTATTCACGATTCGTACCTTATTATTAGTGGCATTAATGAAGCAAATGTAAAAGAACTGTGCCATGGCTAATGACGCGGCCAGGTTAATATGGATGATGTTGCGTCTAGCTCGCCATATTCTATAACGTATCAAAAATATGGAATTACATAATAATCGTGCTTAAAATCGTAATAAAGAAAGTGTGGTGATTTCCATGACTATGTTTTTATATCGTTGGATCGTCAATCATACTCATTATTGTTAACCATCAATAGGCCTAAAAATACCATTATCATTTTGTCATCCTCTTTTTCATTGTTAAATCAATATTCATTATTATTATTATTATTATTATTATTATTATTATTAGAATCAGCATCATTGTCATCATTGTCATCATCATCATCATCATCGTCAAATCAATCATCATCATTATCATCATCCCAATCATTGCCATATTCAAATATAATTATCATCATATTCATCATCATCATCATCATCATTGTACCACCACACCCCAGCACAATAAATATTATTTAAAACTTTTCATAAAAACTAAGTTTTCGCTATTACTATTGCCGAGATTAACTAATGTTATCATCAAATGTCATCAGTTCTACAAACTCATCCAAATACCATATACAGTACTGTAGAAAAAAAAAAGCTCACTTGAGCCTCACGTAAGTGAAAATTGTCAGTAGAAGACAGATGATCGAGAGTGACGTCAGCAGGTACGTTAGAATTTCCAATGCTAAAGCATTCTGAACTGAAAGTACCTAGATATATAAAAACACGGGGTAAATGTATTTATTGTATTTATTCATCAATCTATCCATTTATCAATCTATGAATTTTCATACTTTTAATTTAGTAAATGATAATTTTCATTACAAGAGTAAAAAGCATACGGTACGCCTTTAGAGAGTGGGCGTTGACAGAGTATTCAGTGTACTCTTTCAGGGAGAGAGAGGGTAACAGAAAGGATTAACCGTATTTCGTACATTTTTTTTTGTAAAAATGATGAAAATAATAGATGACTCCCTAAGTGATAATATAATAAATATTGTAGGTCTACACCAATCACAACACACACACAGAATTCGATCCAGAAAAATTTATAGGTTCGCACACACTAATTAATTCGTAATAACAGGCCCGTACGCCAGTACGCACCCCCCCCCCCCCCCCCCACCAAATCGCCAAAGGTCCACAGATTCCGGGGTAGAAATTCGAGACACACTCTCACACGTTCCAGAAATCCATCCACTATAACTCCTTGACCAATCAGAGTAGTTTTCCAACTGCCTATATAAATTGTCATACAAGCAAGTAATTTTAACTCTACAGTATCTATAAGCGTTTTGAAAATTTTGAGTGTTTTCTCCTGCCGTTTGCGTGCCAACGCGCCACGTACAAAACTCATCTTCTCTCTTTCTATGGTTTTACTAGAATTATTATTCTCGTTTAAGTCTGCGAGTGCCATTACCGGCCATCAAGAGGTACCATAATCATAAATGTTCTTACCTCAGGCTCAACCATGGTGGGGCTGTTATAGACCCCCAGTGGTGGATTCAAGGGGGGGGGGGGGCGGAGCCGACCCGGGCCTCCATACTTTTATGAAAATGGAAAACAAACCCAGGCCTCTCTATTTTTTTTAAAGTCCCTCACAGGACACCTCCTCTATTTTAAATTCCTGAATTCGCCACAGACCCATATGTTAAGGTCCCTCATGCAATGCCGTAGCCATGATTTTCAAGTAGAGTAGAGTAGAGTAGAATTAATTGCAAAGCAAAGACTGGAATATGAAAAGTGATGGCTATATTTAAAATTCACATTTAAAATGAAGGAAAGAATGAACAATTAAATTTTAAATAATGCATAAACTTATACAGGTACATAAATCATGAATAATAACATTATACAAATTAATCTATAAATGTAGGCCTACTTGTTCTTACCTGGGGTGATTTGTTGACTCGCATGAGGATTGCAAAATTAGTTAAATGAGTGCAGTGACAGATCGTTTTATTTGGCAATGCGGAAGCAACCCAGCAACCATCTTCTGACCACACCCCACCATTTTGGCTAAACAGAAATTGAAAAAAATATACACAGAACACTATTGCTTATAATGATGTGCTTTATGCAACTCCCTGCTTGAAGGAAGTGTTTCTTCGATTGTCCAGATTTTTGTTAATGTTAAATAAGTATCAATTTATAACTCATTATTATTAAATTATGTATAAAAAATAGGCGAACATTAACACCAACAATAACAACAACGGCAAATATAACTACAATTACTACTACAACGAAAGAACAACAACTTAATAACATTAACAGCAACAACAACAACAACAATAATAATAATAATAATAATAATAATAACAATAGCAATAATAATAATACTAATAATAATAATAATAATAATAATAATAATAATAATAATAATAATAATAATAATAATAATAATAATAATAATAATAATGATAATAATAATAATAATAATAATAATAATAATAATAATAATAATAATAATAATAATAATAATAATAATAATAATAATAAATAATTACGTACTTATCCTTAAATTTCCAATAAGTGCATATAGCCTGTTCATCTTTTCTCAATTCCTATGGATGATATATATTATTTAACAATGTTACTGAGGGTGACTCTTCCTTTGTATACCAGAGGGAGCCCTTCTAATATAAACAATTCCCTATACGATCTTTACAATTCTTAAGTTGCATTCACATCGCATCCGAACCGAAATTCGTACCGCGTTTAAGATGCTCCAGATTATCAAATTGTTGTATACCCATATAGAGTCATGATGTGTCTATATATGGCAATTTTTTCATGTCATCATGACCATATTTAGACATATTTTGTCAAATAAAATGCGATTGTCTGGACAGGTAGAAGAGTATTTGAATCCATGGCTCTAATAATAATAATAGTTGATATCTGTATAGCGCATCGTGCAAGAAAGCCTCTATGTGCTTGGTCATTGTGCTCTTTGAATTTGACATTTTGAAAAAAGTTGATGTAGTCCTATGAAACTAAAACCTACTCCTTAAACCAAAGCATGGTTGGCCGTTGGCTGTGTCCTTAGATTAGAAAGAATGCAACTTAATTAACAAGCTACATCATCAGTAATGCTTTGCACTTTACTTTAGAGTAATGTAATTATTACTGAACAAATTATAAAATAATTATAATTATTTTAATTAATCGATATTATTTTAATATTAATAATACATTATATACTTACAACCACGTGATCTAGACTTATCTCAAGTGGATTGTTCAAATTTAGTAGGCCTCTAGTAGAAACAACGTCATTTTCAGTGATGATGAGTGATACTGTAAATGAGCCCATTCTTGTTGGGTTTTCTTCTTGGTTTCCTTCGATCTTATCCGGAATGGTCACATGCAATGTCTTGTAGACAGTAGTAATTAGGCCTATCTTAACTAAAAAATGAGAGTACAAAATCATTCTAGTCTAAATAACGGTTTTAGAAAAAAACATATATTAAACACAATAGGTTCTGAAGTTGACCAAATATATGCCTGAAATTTGAGAATCATAACCTCCAATCCCCTTTTATCTTAAATTATATAAACACCAAACATTACTTAGATTGGAGATGTCATATTTTCTCTGTTCTGTCTTTTTAAAATAAAATCTTTAAATTGACGTAGCAGCAGCACCACCACCAAATCACAGTATCAAAGCCAAACAAATACTGTACAAAAAAACCCAAAAACGTATAACATTATTCGCAAAAGTTGTTAACGTTTTAATTAGGTTATGTCAGAATATAACGTTAACACAACGTTGCGATGTTAGCAAAGTTAGTTAATTGGAAATTATGTTATACATGGTTTTGTTTGTTATTTAATTTTAGTTGTAACCATGTTGTGTTTATTTTATGTCGTACATGTTCTCGGTATATCATTATCAGTCGCAATTTAGCTGTAAAGCTACAAAGACGATATTTTTGAATAAAATTTGATTTGATAAAATAAGCCTACCTTTTGACCCCAAAACGTGTATGTAAGAAGAACATTTAGTGAATAAACCAAAACAGCAATTCAATTTGCAACCTCTACTGCGTGCAGCTACCAATGATTATCGTCGAAAATCATTATGAACGGAGATAAATGCTTACCTGATTTGCCTTTGATGTTGGCGGTTGGTACACATACCTGGACGGACCCATCATCAAAAGAGACATTGATCCAATTCATTGATGTTGTCGTGTTACTGGAAATTGCTTGCATTTGTACAACTAAAACGTTCAAGGTTTCTTAGCGTTTGTTGCATAACAAAATAATATTATAAGATATTTTTTTTTTATATATATATATATATATATATATATATATATATATATTATATAGGCCTATATACAGTATATACACACACACATATATAATAAATTTATACATATAATAAGCGTATATTATGTATATGTGTTTATGTAAATATGTATATATATTTTATGTAAATCAAAATACCCAAGACCAGGCTCAAGAGGTCAAAAAGATGGCTTATTTTCATTGGGTTTTAACATCTATCGGCCATCATTAAACGAACATGAAACATATATTACAGAGGATATTTTGATGATACATCAAGTGCACCTCGTCAAGATCAATACATCATTTGAATATTGTTGGATGATTATGATTTTATCAATGTTAGAACGACCTTGAAATATATGAATTTGTATAGATAATGTCACAGCCAAAAGCTAATTGTTATGTAGAAAAGTAAACAATAGTACTTAATATTAGTTGCAATAATGCACATGCGTACCTATCTTTTCATATGTCAGTTTGACATTAGATGATGCTTTTGAGGCCAAGTTTTCTGAAACGGCATTTTCAGAAACGGCAGCCGTGTACGATTCCATAAGAGATAATATTGTGCTTTCAACGTACTGTGAAAATACCGAAATAATATTTATTAATAATAATAATAATGATAATAATAATAATGATAATAAATTAATAATAATTATAATAATAATAATAATGATAATAATGATAATAATAATACTAATAATAATAATAATAATAATAATAATAATAATAATAATAATAATAATAATAATAATTTATATTTTAATTACGCTTATTTTAAATCCTAATATCACAATACAAACTGAGATCCTCATTGACTTCTGGGATTCGAAACCTACCTGCATCAAAATCTGTAAAAACATAGATCTCCCGAACTGTACATCAATCCATATTTCAGATTAATTGTGGGAAAAATAATGAATTTTACCGACTTTTTTCACTGGACCAAATGTTGTTTACGTACTTCCGCATTCCATGTCTCACTGTCTCTCAGTCAGTTTTATATGGAACGCAAACAAACACGTTTTCCAAGCACAATGATGGAGAGAAATACAAGATATTTCCCCATACCAGTTCTTATTCTTATTCTTTATTCTAAAAAACAAAAAACAAAAAACAAACAAACAAACAAACAAAGGTACAATATAATGGTGGAAATCATACAGAATACAAGCACAATAAATTGAATCGGCAGGAACACAAAAGCAAACTTAATCACTATAACATCAAGTCTGTGAACCTCACTCATCCAGTTTAACTTAAATACAATGTTATAAATAATTATGTCAATTATAATAAAATAAAACAAAATACAAAAAGCAATTATCTAAGTTAGTGGAGTAAAAAAATAAATATATAACAAAATATGTAATCTTTCATCAGAAATCAATTTAACTTAAGAATTAAATCAATGATAATATTATTATTATATATTTATATATATATAATTAATTAAGTATAATTCAAAAATTAAGATATTTAAACACAAAAATGGTATAAATATTATGCAAAACTAAATTATTTCCAATAAGTTTATGAATTAAGAATTATTATTATTAAGGACAATTTTTATTAAGTTTAGTGAGAAAGATGTGGTCCGAGTCTACAAGGAAAAAGTTTTTGAGATATTCAGGGAAAACATCCCAAAGTCTGGGGAGTTCATGAATAGCTGAGGTGAAGGCAATCGGGCCTTGCACGAATATGTCTTTACAGGGGTGGCGCCAGGATTTGCCCAAGGGGGGAGGGGCGATTCCCCCGACGAAGTGTCAGATTTCCACACGAAAGCAAAGTGGGCGTGGCTAAGCTTCGATTAAAAGGTTGAGAAATGGTGCAGGGGGCGAAGACTTCGAAAATTTTGACAATTTATGGGTTTCAAAGGCTTATTTAATTGATTTTAGAATCTACTAATATGTAGAAAATACACATATTTTTCTTTCTCTCAAACGAATTGTGCTTTTTCTCCCCGACCCGGTGATTGAATGGATAAACTGACCAATGAGAAGACTGCTAGTGAAGGGCTAAAACAAAAGCTATTGTTCACTGAGACAAAGGTTAACGCCCAAACAAAGGCATGGTTCCAGTGGCTGGAGAAAAGGGTGGTAACGACCAAAACAAAGACATAGTGCCAGAGTGGCAGGAAAGGGGGATAAGAACGACCAAAAACAAAGGCATAGTTCTAATAGGGCGGCAAAGGGCGGGGGGGGGGGGGGGAGGAAAACNNNNGGGTAGGAACGACCAAAAACCAAAGGCATAGTTCCAGTGAGGCGTGAAAAGGAGGAAGGGTGCTTAGCTAGGTCCGATTAAACCAAATATCGCTAATGACAAATCCGATATCTTGATGTATTGTGAATTTCTATGGCTTCTCTGGTAGTGTAATAATACAGTAATAATAATAATAATAATTATGGATATTAGATTAGAAGTTTGCCTGGTATCCACCAGATTCGTAATCAGCAAGGTCAAAATACCCTAAATCAAGTAGATCCCAGCCGCTACCTAAAAATGAAAGTTGCATCATCATTTTTGGGATATGGAACCTGTGTATATAATTGAATCAATGACCTAAAGGTCTTTATGGTTTAGCGTTGGAACTATATTAATTACGACGACTAATAACATAATAATAATAATATATTATTATTATTGTTATTATTATTATCATCATCATCATCATTGCTGTTGTTGTTGTTACTATTATCATCATTTTCCTTACCGGTTCAGTTGTAGAAGCAAGCAAATCTTCTTCAAGAATATTATCAACAACAGACAGGAACATCTGTAAGTACGTTTATATAAAGGCATGCATTATTCTGACGAAATATTTCTATTATAAATCGTGTTAGTGTTAGATAGGACAAATTTTAAGTTTGTAGTTACCAAAACAAATTACAACATTGACATCTCATAGCCATAACAAATGGAAAGGAATTGAGATCATATTTTTCTAAATGAATGAATGAACTACACAAAAATGAAACAAACATTGCGTAAGTGGACAACCGTGAACAAAATGCGGACTTTTTCAGTCTACATTAGTTATAATGGAATTGGCAATATGGCGGTCAAAACGGAAAAAACTGCCTATCTATGGTTTTAACATGGGAGCTGGTAGAAGGCCTGCAATGAGAAAGTGTGGGAGTGGGTGTTAGCTGTGGGTGTGAGATGTTTTTAACTACTATTCACCTAATTTTCGAGAGGGAATTTTGGAGAGCTTTAATAAAACAGTAATTAAAAATAAAGTCTATAACCTTCACGGTTTTTTCAGATGATGCAGATGAAGGCGCAACGAGACCCAGTGTGCTGATTACATTGGATACATCATTTTCCTCCAATTTGTTAGCTTCGTTCGATGTGATTTCCATGGTAGATATTAGTATTTGTACAGCCTCCTCTTCATTCATATCAGATCCAAGTGACATAGAGTGATTCAAAATCTTCTCGATCTGTAAGTGCAATACATTTACAGCCATTATAATTTAAAGTCTTGTCCAGACTACCAAATTTTCTTTTACCAAAGATATTAGAAATACAAGATAGAGCACTCGCATAGCAAAAATGAGGCGGAAATTGGTCCAGACGTACGCGGCACCCTTCTCTTTTTATAACGCAAGTTTTCTATATTTGGTCCAGACCTACAGGGCGCCCTTCTGTTACTAGGTATAACCAGATGCACACGGCGCCCTTCTTTTTCCATTAATATAGGAAAACTTTATCACTAATCAGAGTCCGGTCATACGAATCTGCACCTTTGTGTCTGCCATTTTATTGTTTTGATTTATTTATGCCTATTTGTTTGTATATTATGGATAATGTCAACGACTTCAACCTCCGCAAAAGGAGGTTATGTATTCACAGTTATGTATTAACGGTGGAGTTTTTTAGATCCAGCCGTACGCGGCTCCCAATTGTTTGTATTCCCACTATGCATTTCGGTGGAACAGTTTTTTTTTCTGTGGAGAACTCTATCTTGTGTTTCTAGTATCTTTGCTTTCACTAAAACATGTGACATTCCTGAAATCTAGTATATTTAACAACAGTTTTTGTCAAATAAAATTGTAGAGTCTAGACGGTGCTTTAGATAATAAAAGTACTGTAATTGAATAGAGCTGAAAAGCTTGCTGGTTAAGATGCTTGCCTTCCAATCTCAGGGCACTGGGCTCAAACGCTGCCACTGAAGGCTTCCTGGAGACTAAAAACGCATAGAAGAAATATGGTTGTTTTTTTTAAATTACTAAAGGCTAATAAAAACCTACAAAATTAAATATTGAGTTTTTATTGTTGAAGTACATTTGCGTACGTTTATTTGGTTAATGTCATTTTTTAAGTGTGCCTCAACAGCGAGTGTGGATGGACCGAAAAACAAATCGTTAATTATTTTAATTATACAACGAGGCTTACTTTGCTTTCTGATGGCGCTGTTTATAGGCTGTTCAGAAAATAAAACATGTAATCGCCCAGAACCTAGTCTACACAGACAGTAGCCTATTTCAGTAGCCAATACAAGTAATTTGCACTCTTTCTAAAATATACACCTTACCAGTATTGGCTGGTGAATTTACCTTGATTCCTGTTGGCATCAAGTCTAGAGTGACCATAGAAGTAAATGTTTGGCCTTTTAGTGTTCTCGAAGTAGGCAAATAATAAGATGTTTCAGCAAGGGTGAACGAGTTGGTTTCTTGGTGTATGCCAGTCGTCGGGAAAGTTGCGTTTAACGGGGAAACAGACATCCCTCCACTTGTTTCTGTAAACAAGTGGAGGGAACATTGTTTTGGAATTATTATCTTAAATATCTTTTTATAAAGCATTCAGATTTTGCAAAAGCATGTATATTTAGGCGTATA